CACCACCACCAAACACAGACTCCTCCTCCCCCCCCCCAGCCACCCACCCACCCCCACCCCCCACCCCACACACACAGGCACCTGGCTGACAACCTCAACATCGGCGACGCCATCGACTATGCCCAGGCCTCCCACCGAGGCTCCCTCGGGGACCTGGTGGCGGGCACGCTGCACGCGCTGGAGCGCGGGGGCGGCCCCGACGCCTTCCACCACATCAAGTACCACGTCCCGCTGTACGAGAGCTGCTGCAGGCCCTCGCGCCTCGCGCGCAAGCCGTAGCTTGTGCGACGGGCGGGGGCTGCGTGTTGGCGGGGAGTGAGCAGGGAGCGGAGCTTGGCGGGGTGGCGGCGGCAGCAGGGCAACGACGGCAGGGCTTTATCTGATCAACCTGCCGTCCTTGGCTGTGCTCTGCAATTTTGCATTGTATTATCCTTTCTACAAAGGGGGATTTGCAATGCTGTGCTTTGTGCTCTGCGCTCCGCTTGATGTATCAGTATGTGCTTACCACATGGCGTCAACCTTACAGCCTTGCGGCGGCACACGCAAACCAGCCTGGGCTGCCCAGCAGCAGGTGCCCGCCCCACGGCTGCCCTGCGCCTCTGCCACGCTCACGCGCCACGGCACGGCAGCGGTGGCGGATGATGCAGCTCCACCTCACGCCCCTGCTGCCGACTTGTGGCTAGAGGCCCGCCATGGAGTCGATGATGATTTGGAACCCTTCTGGCACGGGCGCCTTGTCGCGCACCGCATCCACCAGCAGTCCCACCTGCAGGCAACAGCGCCCGCCGGCGGGACACAGGCCTCGCGCGCAGGCTCCGGCCCAAGCCCAGCCTGCCAAACCAAGTGTTTGCACCACACGCAATGCAACGCAGACACTCCGCAGTGCAGACAGGCACACGCAGGCCCCCGCTCCACCTCTGGCTCCTCCAGGTTGGGCTGCCGCGCCAGGAAGAGCAGGAGGTGGAAGTCGGCGATGCGGGCCCAGTAGGGGGCGGAGCGCCGCGCCTGCAGGTGCGCCTTGAGCTCCGGCATGCCTGCGGGGCGGGGCCGGGGAGGGTAGGGGGCTCAGACGGGGAGGGTGACGACGAAGGTGATGAAGGAGGTGACGAAGGAGGCGATGCAGGGTGGGGGAAGGAGGCAGGCAGGCACACACCCACACCCGCCTTGCAGCGGCGGCCCACCCACCGCCGCATCCCCTGCCCCCACCCACACCTCCACCCGCAGGCGGCCCACCCTGTGGCAGCAGCCTGTTTTCCAGCGGGAACTTGGTCTCCAGCGGCCCCTCGTGGTCCCTCACCGCCACCGGCACCAGGAAGTAGTCGTTGTCCACCTCGCCCAGGTCCTTGCCCGCCACGATGACGGGGGCAGCCTCCCCTGGCTCCTGCAGGTGCAGGGCAGCAGAAGGAGAGGGAGAAGGAGAGGAGGGGAGGGGAGCAGGGGTACGGTGGGGGCTGGGTGGTGCGGTTGACCGGGGGAAGCAGGCAGAAGAAGAAGGAGAAGCAGCAGGAGGAGGAGGAGGTGCGGCGGGGGCTGGATGGTGCGGTGTATGGGAGCGCGGGAGCCGGGCAGCGTGGGCCGGCGAGCCTGCTGCTGCGGCGGGGGCGGGCGCGTGGCGCTTGCTGCGCCGGCGGCCGGGCTGTCGCCTTTGGGTTGCGCAGCGTGGATGTGCCACTCGGCTCAGCCTGCTCCTGGAACCACCCCTCCTTCCACA